TCAAAGGGTTGTCTTTATATTTTCTCACAAAGGGGAAAAGACTAACTTCACAGTGGACAAACCTGGCAGATATTACCTAATTCAAGTGATTAAGGAAAATCAGCATCAGCAGCAATAAGACATACTGCATCCGGATAGGATGTGTTGGGAGACACACAGCACTTACCAGAGGTTCCCTCTTCTAAGATCTGTGACTGCAGTCTAAGCTTGAGAATATATTAGACAAATACCCTAAGGGGTATTCTAAAAAACACAAATTCATACAGAAACCTCCCCACCCCCATTTCCCTCAAGAACTTAGAGTTGTATTTATTTTTTTTTATGTGTATGAGTGTATTGCCTACGTGTATGTGAGTGCACCGTATCATGCAATGCTGCAGAGGTCAGAAGAGGGCTTTGGATTCCCCTGGAACTGGAGTTAAGTACAGTTCGTAGCCGCCATGTGGATGCTGGGAATTGAACCCAGGTCCTCTGCAAGAGCAGTCAGTGCTCTTAACCTCTGAGCCATCTCTACAGGCCCAAGTTTTATGTTGTATATTCAGTAATACATCCTTGAAAATAAGACTTTTTTGTATGTATATATGTGTGTACTTGCATGAGTTTATGTGTACCATGTGCCCACAGAGGCTGAAGGCTTCTGATATCCTGCAACTAGAGTCACAGACACTTGTGAAGATGCCTGATGTGGGTGTGCTGGAAACTGAACCTGAATTCTCTGCAAGAGCAGCCAGTGCTCTTAACTGATGAGCCATCTCTCCAGTCCATCTTGAGTTAGTTTTTCCTGTAAGTTTTTCTGTGTGTCAAGATTTCTTTTTTCTTTTGCACATGATTGTTCAATGATTTCAACAGCATTTGTGTTGAAAAGTCTTCTTTCTCTACTAAATTACCTTTGTCTTTTTTTTTGTCTTTTTTAGACAGGGTCTCCCTGTAGCCCCAGCTGTCCTGGAACTCACTATGTAGACGAGGCTGGCCTTGAATGCACAGAGATCCGCCTGCCTCTACCTTCTGAGTGCTGGGCACCATGCCCAGCTTGCCTTTGTATCATCGTTAAGAAAGAATTATTTTGTTTTTTATTTATCTGCATGTTATCTGTATGTGCATATGTGTACGCAAGTGTAGGTGCTTGGGGAAGCCAGAAGAGGGTGTCAGATCCCATGGAGCTGGAGTTACAGGCAGTTGTGAGCTGCCTGACATGGGTGCTGGGATCTGAACTCAGGTCCTATGGAAGAACAATATACACTCTACTGCTGAGACTTCTCTCCAGCTCCCTTTTGCATCATTGTTATTACATGAATCTATTTCTGGGGCCTGTAGTCTATTCATTGATCTGTTTGTTCTCTCACTAATAGCATGTTGCCTTGATGTATTAGTTCACTTTCTGTTACTGTAACAAATATCTGTTCATCATCATTATTATTATTATCATTATTATTATTATTACTATTACTATTATTATTTTGAGACACGGTCTCCCTGTAGCCCCAGCTGGCCTGGAACTTGCTATGTAGACCAGGCTGGACTTGAACTCATAGATCCGCCTGCCTCTATACCTCTGCCTCCCAAGTGCTGGGATTAAAGGCATGCACCACCACACCCAGATGTCTTAACATTTCTACCACTTTCCAAGACCACCAAGCTATGAACTGAGCCTTCAGGAGACATTCTTGATCCAAACCATAGCACTTGATTCTTCTAGCTTTACAATAAATCTTGAAATGACTCAAAGTAAACCCTCCAGACTCCTTTCTTGTATCAACTATTTTGGTTCCTTTTACTTTCCATAAAAATGTAGCATTAACTTGATGTGTGAAAAACAAAGAGAGCTGTTATTTTGATTGTGTTCCACCAAAATCTATAGATCAACTTTGAAATAAAGCCTTTTTTCCAGTGCTGGGGGTTGAATACAAGGCCTTGTGCATATTCAGCAAGCACTCTATCACTGAGCTCCATCCCCAGTAATCAAATGGGAAGGAAAAAAAAGTTTTGAGAAAGAGTCTCACTACATAGTCCAAACTGGCCTAGAACTTCTAATTCTCTTGCCTCAGCCTCCTAAATGCCAAGGTTATATGTCACCATGTCTGACAGAAAGAACAGACATAATTATTTTCAAAGAACAGAACAATAATCATTTTCAAGAAAAATTTGTATGTGAACATATGAATGTATTTGTTGTATTGGTATTTTACAGTCTTCTACATAAAGATCCTATACACACATTGTTAAATTCATCCCAAGTACTTTACTTTGGGGGTTGATATTGAAAATGGTACTGATCTTTGTTATATTGTATTCATTATGGGTATAACAAAAAAGTGACTGACTTTTGGGGCTGAGGAGATGGGTCAGTTGGTAAAGTTCTTGCCATACAAGCATGAGAACCTGAGGTCATGTCCCCAGCACCAATGTAAAAAGCTGGGCACAGTGGCATGCACCTGTAACCCTAGTGCTGAGAAGGTAGAGATAGGGGATCCCTGGAGCAGGCTGGCTAGCTGCTGCAGCGTACGTTGGCAAACTCTGGGTTCAAGTGAGAGACCTTGCTTAAATATGTAAGGTGGAGAGTCATCGAGGAAGACATCTGGTGTCAACCTCTGGCCTCCACATTCATGCACATACATGTGCACCCACACATGTGAACACACATACACACATGCACACCACACCCAAATATATGCAAAGAATAATAAAGTGGGGAGCAACAAAGGAAGACACCCAATATTGACTTCTAGTCTCCACGTGCATGTGAATGTGTGAGTACCTTCAAACACACATGCACGAACACAAACATGTTCACATGCATACACCACACCTCCTGCAAGTGTACCTGCATGCATGCACTTACATGCACATACACAAACACACAAAGTAACTGACTTTTATTTTTAAAGATTTATTTTTGTTTATGTGTGTGTCTATGTGCACATGCATGCAGGTGCCTGCAGAAACCAGAAGAGGGCAACAGATCCCCTGGAACTAGCGTTACAGGCAGTCATGAGCCATCATATGTAGGTGCTGGGAACCAAACTTGGGTTCTCTGGAAGAGTGTTAAGTGCTCTTAACCACTGAGTCATTTTTCTAGCCTGTGATCAACATTTATATACTGAGCTTACAAGGTACTTCTGCTAAACTCAATTATTGATCCCAGAGCACTTTTTTGGTCTTTTTGAGACAGGGCCTCTCTGTAGCCCCAACTGTCCTGGAACTCACTATATAAACCAGGCTGGCCTTGACCTCACAGAGATCCACCTGCATCTGCCTCCTGAATGCTGGGATTAAAGGCTTGTGCCACCATACCCGGTAATCCCAGAGTTCTTTTGGTATTCTTTAAGGTTTTCTATATATACAATCATACCTGCTATTAATTAGTACATTTCATGGCTTAGGAGAGTAATGCCAGTAAACTTTATCATTTTATTCTGCCAAATACTGAATACATATATACTTACTTATTCTTTTCTAGAAAAGAATAAGATGCTATTAAAAATATGCTCTTTGGGCCAGGTGTGGTGGCACACACCTTTAGTCCCAGAACTGGGGAGGCAGAGGCATAGATCTCTGTGAGTTCAAGGGCAGTCTGGTCTACATAATGAGTTCCAGGCTAGATGGGCCTACAGGGAGACCACGCCCGGCTCATCTTGCTTTTTATTGGCAACAATTTCCATATTATGAAGTACAAATTTGTATAGGAATACACATGGCAGATACAGTAAAAATTCTGTGTACTATTTCAAGGGAGTTGTTGTTGTCTGGAAACCTATAAATGAAGGTTAATAACCTATAAGAAATGCCCTTCTGGGGCTGGAGAGGTGGCTCAGTTGTTAAGAGCACTGGCTGCTCTGGCAGAGGACCTGGGTTCGAGTCCCAGCACCCACATGGTAACTAACAGCCATCCCTAACTTCGGTTCCAAGAGACCTGATGCCCTCTTCTGGCCTCTGTGGGTACTGCATGCATAGGTGCACCTAACATACTTGCAGGCAAAAGACTCAAATACATAAAATAAAAATAATTTTAAAAGGCCTGGTGTGGTGGCGCACGTCTTTAATCCCAGCACTCGGGAGGCAGAGGCAGGCGGATCTCTGTTGAGTTCAAGGCCAGCCTGGTCTACATAGTGAGCTCCAGGACAGCTGGGGCTACAGGGAGACCCTGCTTCAAAAAGACCAAAAAAAAAAAAAAAAAGAAAAAGAAAAAGTAAATTAGTATAAACCCTTAAACCTCATATACATAACACGGGTCAGTGCTGGGACTTCACCCAGATATCCTGTCCACACTCATTATCTGCTTTTCACACGCCACACAAAACATGACCTGAAACAAACTCATCCTATCTGGGTAGTACTTCCAAAACCTTATGATAGAGAGAGGGTACTGTGGAGATCTCTATGCACACAGAAACAACTCTCTCTGCTCAAACTTTCAAATACATTCCTACCCCCAAAGTCTTAAAACTCAAAGTCCTTGTTACTGACTGAAATGACTAAAACCCATCTCCTATCTTGTTTTCTAACTTAAACCTGTTTAGCAAATTAAGAACGTGTGGTGCATGATTCTAAGTAGGCATAGTTTCATCTTTAACGAAGCACTGTCTCATCAGGCATGGTGGTGCATGCCCACGATCTCAGCACTGGGGAGGCAATGCAGCGGCAAGTTTAGGGCCAGCTTGGCTGTGCATTGTGAGTTCTAGGCTAGCAGAGGTTATACAGAGACCCTGTCTCAAATGTTTAGAAAACCGTCTAAAATAATAATCTTTATTATTTTCATGAGTTTTAATTCTACATCATTTCAGTGCTTGGAAGTGAATGATTTGTAAACTGGACACATGAGTAACAGGAAGGACATGATGACTGCACTGAGGGGTGGCAGGATGTCCGCAGGACCATTCACTGTGGAAGGAAAACTGAGAGATAGATGAGTGGATTGATCACATTGCAGAAGAACGCTGCATGTTTCCATGTCCTGAAAAGTAAAATGAGATTTACAAAACAAGAGGGCAGCACAAACTCACCTCGAATTTAAATTTCAGGTGTGCAGTAACCGATCTCTTCTGCCCACAAGCCTTCTTTGGAGAATGACAGGACCGGTGCATGAGACATATAATGTGAAGACAGGCAAGACCCCCCCCCAGCACACACACACACACACACACACTCATTTTTCCCTCTCCCTCTCCCCCTCCCCCTCCCTCCCTCTCTCTCTCCAACCATCCCTGCCCCTGCCACACATTCGCTGAGGAAGATGACACTAGGCTGGAAGCTCTGGGTACGCAGTTGTTCTGACACTTGCAGCCGTCCAGGCTGAAAACCTGCTTTGCCATTTCTACAGAATTGTCCAGACCTAACAGCCCGCTCTAAGCTCAGCTGTCTGGGGACCTTCTTTTTGGACTTCCACCTCTAACTGCCACGGAATGCGTCCCCGCAGCCAATCCCAGAGCTGAGGCGACACCTTGAAGTCTCGCATCTGAAAACGAACTGCGTCACAAGCTGGGAGCCTCGTCGAATTACCGATTGCATAAACTCAACCCTGCATCAAGCCACTCACACCCACGGGAAAACGCAGAGTAGCCAGAAACTGCCGGTCCCACAAGCCAAGCCCCGAAGCAAGCCCTAAACCCTAAACATTCCCCCGCCAGGCTCAGAGTCCTGCCGGGCCACCCTCCCCACCCGCCCCCTGAGGCCAGAGGGTCGCAGAGAGCCCAGGCTGGCCTCAAATGCGCCACGTAGCCGAGGCTGGCCTTGAACTCCTGATCCACCTAACAGGTGCGCGCCACCCAGCCGAGCCCGCACTGATTCCGGTCAGAACGCAAGGATTTGGAGCTCACCATCCGCTCTCCACGCCGGGCTCTGAGAACCGCCCGGTCCCAGGACCGCGATCCGCACAATGCCTGTTGCCTGCCGGCTGCGCAGCTCGAGAGCGCCTAGTGTGCCTGGTGCAGCCGACACTGGAAGAAACAGACCTGTCAGAAGGGCGGGGTGACTGACTGCGGCTGAGCAGACCAGTTCGGTCCCGATGCCCTCTGGGAAATGTAGTTCGCGATCAGAGCAGCCTGACTATGGATGGCAGGCGCGCAGGAGGCCGGGCCCCGCTTTCCACGCCTCCTTCTGAGCCTCCTTCTGAGGCTGACTGGGGAGGATGCTCTACCGGTAGGCAGGTAAAGCTGGGTGAGTGAGCATGGCAGGATGGGCAGGATTCTGCAGCGTGACTGAATCTGATCTGCGTGTACTTGAGAGTGTGTAACCATGGAGATCATTGTTTCTGCGCATGGGGATGCGTGATTCTATGAGTGATGTACTAAAGCGAGTCCTCAGAGAAAGTTGTGTAATCATGCACTACTATGATGTCAGAGTCTGAGAGGGCGGATCAGTTGGTCACGTGCCTCAGACTGATGTTTTCTGTGAAGGCCAGCACTTCTGGTTACTATTTTCCCACGGGGACTGTGCATGTGGGTCACCTTGTGACCGTTTATGAAGCTGAGTGTGGCATTTGATTGACTCCAGTTTGGTCGGGTGTGTGCCATAAAGAGTGTGACTGGCAATTAGGTAAAGATAATTTCAGGCAGCCGGGTGTGGTGGCACACGCCTTTAATCCCAGCACTTGGGAGGCAGAGGGCAGGCGGATCTTTGTGTGTTTGAGGTCAGCCTGGTCTACATAGTGAGTTCCAGGACAGCTGGGGCTACAAGGAGACCCTGTCTCAAAAAAGACAAAAACAGTTTCAGGCAAAATTGGAAAAGGAGGGAGAGGACCAGCATGGTGGTGTCTGCCTTTAGTCCCAAAGACTGTGGAGCAGAGGCAGGCAATCTGTGAATCTGACACCAGCTTGGTCTGCATAGTGAGTTCCAGGCCAGCTAGGGCTCCTTAGTGAGATCCTGTCTCAAACAAAGAAACAAACAAATTGGAAAAGGGTAGTATAAATTTATCGTTATTTATAGGTGCTAGGATTGTAAGAGTGTATACCGGACACAGCCCAAAATGTTGAACTGATCAGGACTCCATATTAACATTCAGGAAAATGTGTGAGTCAACAACTGCCATGTGGGTGCTGGAAACTGAACCCGGATCTTAACTGTGCTCTTAACCTCTGAGCCATCTCTCCAGCTCCACTCATGGAAAGATTCTTAATAGTTCCTCATTAATTTTCACTTATTAATTTTAGTACTGACTGAGAATCCTTACCTGAATCAATTATTATTTGATGCTTGCTGAAAAGCTCCTTCTCCTCCTCCTCCCCCCCTTCCTCCTTCCTCCCTCTTCCTTCTTTCCCTTTCCTCTACCCCCTTCCCCCTTCTTCTTTTGGTATTGGGAACTGAACCAGAAATAATGTGTGCTAGGCAAGCATTCTACCCACTGACTAACACCCCCCTAGTCCACTTTTACTTCTTATTTTGAGAAAAGATATCACTAAATTGCCAAAAAGGACTTGAACTTGAGATTGTCTGTCCCAGGCTCCTGAGTAAGATTGGATTATACACCTGCACCACCAGGCCTGTCTTCTTTTCACATTTACTAAGATTCTTAAGACAGAGCTTTCTTTTTGTTGTTGTTGTTGTTACTGTTGTTTTGAGAGAGTATACCACTATATAACCCTGGCTGGCCTGGACTAGGTTGACCTACAACTCACAGAGATCTGCCTGCCTCTGCCTCCCAAGTGTTGGGATCAAAGACGTGTGCCACCACACCTGGCTTAAGAAAGCCTTCTGTTTCTCCCATTTATTTATTTAGTCAGTGGTTAAGTATGGACTCAAAAATTCTTATTCCATTCTGTGGCTGTCCATTTACTATAATTATTTTGCGCACAAATTATCCCAAATTTGGCTCATGGGATTGTTGTTTTGAAATATTCTCATGTATTTTTAGTAATTACTTACTTTCTGGCATAAAAAGATGCTCCTGGGCTAATCTTGTACTTTCCCTTGCCTTAGAATCAGCCATTTATGGGCTAGAGAGATAGCTCAGCGGTTAAGATCAATGACTGCTCCTGCAGAGGATCTGGGTTCGATTCCCAGCACCCACATGGTGGCTACAAACTATCCTTAACTCCAGTTCCAGGGGAATCCAAAGCCCTCTTCTGATCTCCATAGCATTTCACGACATGGGTGCACTCACATACATGCAGGCAATACACTTATACACATAAAATAAAAATAATAAAATATTAAAAAAAAGAATCAGCCATTTGTCTACAAAGTATTTTTATTACATTTATTATTTATTGTGTATCTGTTGGGGGAAGGGATGCCACAGTGTGTGTGTGTGTGTGTGTGTGTGTGTGTGTGTGTGTGTGTAGGTCAGAGGATCAGAGATCAACTTAAGTTTGTTGGGTCTCTCTACCATGTGAGTTCCAGGGATCAAATTTAGGTCATCAGGTTGGTTTAACAGCAAGCACCCTCAGCCGCTGAGACACCTCACCAGCCCCTTCAGAGCTTTTAAATGGGAAATATTATTATATAGAAGCCAAAAGAATACAATATTTTATTTTATTATTTTGGATCTCCCTCTAGCCCCAGCTGGCCTGGAACTCGATATGTAGACCAGGCTGACTTTGAACTCACAAAGATTAGCCTGCCTCTGCACCCCCCCCCCCCAGTGCTGGGATTAAAGGTGTGAGATACCATGCCTGGCTCTGCTATTAAAATTTTATTTCTGATCATTTTTCCTACACTAATTCAAAAACATAAAAATTTTATTTTTTTTTTATTTTATGTGTCTGAGTGTTTGGCTTGCATGTAGATTGGTACACTCATGTCATATAATACCTGAGGAAGTCAGAAGAGGACATTGGATCCCCTGGAACTGGAGTTACAGGTGGTTGTTAGCCACCATGTAGGTTCTGGGAACAGATCCCAGGTCCTCTTCAAGAGCAACCAGTGCTCTTAACCACGGAGCCATCTCTCCAGCCCCTAGTTTGGGAGTTCTTGAGATCAGGTGTTAGTGATTCATATGTATTATCCTACCACTCAAGGGGGTATGGTAGAAGGAGCAGTAAGAATTCAAGGCTAGTGTGGGCTCATAATGAGTTCCAGGACAGCCTGAGCTACAGAGTTCATCTTCTTAATGGTAGCAAAATATGCTTACAACTACAGATTACATTTATCATGTTGCCTGCAAGGTCATCTTGAGAAAAGGAAGATCTATGACCTGTGGCCATAAAAACTATCAGGTTGGGAGTGTACTTGCTTAGCAAATGAAAATCATGGACTTGATTCTCAGTACTATACATAAAACTGAGTATGGTGGAACATGACTGTAATTCTAGCACTGGGGAGTTGGAAGCATCAAAAGTTCAAGGTCACCTGTCTCAAACAACATCAACAACAACAACAACATCAACAGCCCACAAACAAAACTAACAAAACTACCAAAGCCTCTGAAAAACAAATAAAAAATCCACCAGGTTTCCAGGCCTGATGGCTCATTACCTTAATCTTGGCACTTAGGTTACTATAAGGCAGGAGGACTGCTTGAGTTCAAGGCCAGATTTGTTTATATAGTAAGTACCAGGTCCTGCTGTGCTACAGTGTGAATACCTATATAAAATACATATAAAAGCTCAGCAGGTTTTTGTTTCAAAATACTGTATTTATTTATTTATTTATTTATATTTATTTATTTTTATTTATTTTTTTATGTGTGTGTTTGCCTGCATGTGTGTAAGTGTACCATGTGTGTGCCAGGCCCACAGATGCCAGAAGAGGACATTAAATCTCCTGGAACTAGAGTTATAGAAGGTTGTTAGCCACCATGTGGGTGCTGGGAACTAAACCCGGGTCCTCTGCAAGAGAAGCCAGTGCTCTTAACTGCTGAGCCATTTCTCTAGACCCCCCAAATAATTGTTTTACTCTTAATTTTTTCTCATTTTTTTTCGTCTTTTTGAGACAGGGTCTCCCTGTAGCCCCAGCTGTCCTGGAGCTCACTATGTAGACCAGGCTGTCCTCGAACTCACAAAGATCCACCTGCCTCTGCCTCCCAAGTGCTGGGATTAAAGGCATGTACCACCACACCTGGCTTTTCTCTTCATTTTTTAATAAATACTTTTATTAATATTTTGAGAATGACAATGTTTTGATCACATTTGCCCCAACTCTTCCACTTCACTCCTCCAACCAGCAGGTTTTTAAAAAATTACAATTTAGCCAGGCGTGGTGGCACACACCTTTATTCCCAGCACTCGGGAGGCAGAGGCAGGTGGATCTCTGTGAGTTCAAGGCCAGCCTGGTCTACATAGTGAGTTCCAGGACAGCTGGGGCTACAGGGAGACCCTGTCTCAAAAAGACCAAAAAAAAAATTATAGTTAACAAGTTGATAAAATTAATGAATGTTTGATAAACACAATAGCTTGGATGAATCTTTAGAAAAAGAGAGTAAATGAAAAAGCATCAGCTCTAAAATATTCTTGTGATTCCATATTTTGAGTTGCCTTGGGGAGGTCAACTGGAAGCCTTTCTCCAACCAGGACAGATCTGGGGAAGGAAAAATGAATGAGGAAACACCAGACTTTTTTGCCTGCCCATTCAACCATTTCAGACAATGTGTCTGAACCCCTATCACTGATGACATACAGGAGGACATCAGAGAAGTCTAGGGCATCCTGTTCAATCCAGCCATAAGATAAATGTAGGGTCACTGTAGTGCTGGATAGAATCTGTCCCTGACAAGCCCCACAAGTCTCCTGTGGTGGGCATCACGAAGGCACAAAGATGCCACCCACAGTGACTCTCCAGACAATCACACACGCCAAGGAAACACACAAAGTCACAGGTGCCTCAAATGATAATATAATCTGCCCCCCACAAACATTCGCACATACCAAGGCTTGCACACAGTCATGATGGCAGTTCATAGAAACTTCTCACATTCGAAATGCCATAGGCTGTGAAGACCCAGGGACAGCAACAAATCCCCCTCTCCATCACGACATCAACATTAGAAACACCGGGAAGCAGCCACAACATTCAGTCAAAGCACTTCACATGCCCACCCAGTTGGGCCAATGGGCACAAATACACAAGCCAAGGGGACACACACTTAGGGGCCCTCACACTGGTAAAAACTGTAACATAATTGGTCACACATACTCCATGCACACACACACAATGGACACCATCACAATTACAATCCCGAATCCTGTCCAGCTCTCTGCTTTCACAATTCCATACACTGTCACACAGACACACTGTAACAATCCCACACGCCTCAGCATTTCCATGTGCCAACCTGTTCCCCACCACAACTTCCACAGGCCGGACGGTCCAGACACTTGCTACCAAGGCGCCTCGGGAAGTCTAAAAGATCTAATCTAGCTCTCCCCAAATCTGACAGGAATAGCCAGCCCACTCTTCAGAAGAGGCTGTAGTTCTCTTTAGCCTGAGCACAAGGCCTAGAGGCTTCTGGGAAATGTAGTCCAGGAAGCCGCAGGCCGCATAAACTCAATGTTATACATAAACCAACAGGCCCGATTGGCTGTTCATCGGAGCCTGCGGAAATCCCAGCTGACAGACTCTGTAGACCTTGATCAGGCGCCAATGAACCTTATCCATGGCCTGTGAACCTGACTTTAGCGGAGTCCTGCCGAACCAGGTTGGTAAGAATCCCTCTTTCACCCTGGATGCTTGGATTCCCTTTAGTGCTTTACCATCCACTGCCTCTTCCCTCTGCCCATTGGTTGTAATTCGCCAGCAGCTATTCGAAAGTGACTATTGCAAAAATTTATTTTGTTTGGGGACAAGGTCTCACACTTGTAGCCCAGGCTGGCCTTGAACTCCTGGTGATCCTCCTGCCTCTTCACAGTGCTGGGATTAAAGGCGTGAGCTACAGTACCGAGCTTATTGCAAAACCCCCATTTTTTTTTTTTTTTTTTTTTTTTTCCTGTCTTTTGGAGACAGGTTCTCCCTGTAGCCCCAGCTGTCCTGGAACTCACTATGTGGACCAGGCTGGCCTCGAACTCACAGAGACCCGCCTGCCTCTGCCTCCCAAGTGCTGGGATTAAAGGCGTGCGCCACTACGCCTGGCCTGCAATACCCTTTTTTAAAAATTGCATTTGTTTGGCTTGTGTGTATGTGTGTGGCGCTCGCGTGTGGAGTTCAGAAGACAGCTTGCAGCGGTCGGTTCTCACCTTCCACCTTGTGGGTCCCGGGATTCGAATTTAGTTCGTCAGGCTTGGCGGCAAGCCACTTTACCCACTCAGCCATTTCATCAGCCCCTTATTACAAAACTTAAACGAAATTATCCTTTCCCGTTTAACTGGTCTAGGGCAAGCTTTCTTAAACCCAGCGCAGTCTCGGAGCTTGTTGCGGTTTCTAGGATGCCTCCACTCATCCCGCGATGTCCAGGTCTCCTGGGAAACGTAGTCCAAGACCTCGCCAGCGACTGAATGAGTGCGGCCATAGTGGGCTGAGTCATCCAATCCTTTGGCAGAAATCAGGTGCCTGGGAATTCGCCTCCCTGCTGGCAGTTGGGGGAGCGAATGAGCCCAAACCAGCCCTGGGAGTTTGCGAGGAAGCTTCCAAGAGAGCAAAGGCAGACCTCAGTGTGTGTGATTGCGGTCGCGGTAGGACTACCTGTGCCCCTCGGTCGCGGGGAGTGCCATGAAAGAGGTCTTCCTGGAGCATCTGTATGGTGTGTGTGTACACAGCTAGTAATAAGAAATTAGCATATTTATTGTCCCCTTGGATACTTGTTTTAGAGAATTCAACATCAGTATAATTTTTTTTAACATGATGTATTTTGTTGTGGGGGTGCTTGTTTTGGGTTATGCCTGGAATTCTGCATTTTTCCTTCTCTGTTCTTCAGGAGAAACTGGAGATGTGCATTATTATTTTTTTGAGGTTGGCCTCTAGCTTGCTTTATAGCCAACGCTGGCCCTCCTACCTCCACCTCTCAAGGGGTTTCTGTTGTTAGGTTTATTTAGACAGCCTCTTTCAATTTAGTCAGGTTGGCCTCCAACTGAAGGCAGTCCTCCTGCCTTTCAAGGGCTGGAAATTATAGGTGTGAACCACCATGCCCTGCTCCAGAGATGTGATTACTATTTTTTGTTTTTTTGAGACAGGGTCTCCTTGTAGCCCCAGCTGACTTGGAACTCACTAGGTAGACCAGGCTGGCCTCAAACTCATAGAAATCCGCCTACCTCTGCCTCCCAAGTACTGGGATTAAAGGTGTGTGTCACCACACCCAGTCAAGATGTGATTCTTTTTAATTAAACCAGTAACATCAGCCACAATTAAAACAAGCTTAAGGACACCTCACAGTGATGTGATGCTGGAGAACTGGTGCAGCACAGCCACAATTGATTGATCTCCATATCAGCAAAAAAAATTTTGGGTGGCGGTCGGGGGGGTGTTGAGACAGGGTCTTCCTGTGGCCCAGCTGGCCTGGAACTTGCTAATTAGACCAGGCTGGCCTCCATCTCACAGAGTTCCAACTGCTTCTGCCTCCTGAGTACTAGGATTAAAATAGTGTGCCACCACACCTGGCCTTGAATAATACAAAATTTGAAAGAGGGCTGTGGTGGCACACACCTTTAATCCCAGCACTCAAGAGGCAGAGGCTGATGAATCTTTGTGAGAGCGAGGACAGCCTGGTCTCCATTTGAGTTCCAGGCCAGCTGGGGCTACAGAGAGACCCTGTCTCAAAAAGAAAAAACAAACAAAAAAATCAAACACACACACAAGTTTTGAAAGCAAAGTGCTGTCTCCTTTTCTCTTCTGAAATGATAGGTACTTTATGTGCTGTAATACTGCCCCCCACCCCTAATTTGTGATGCTGGAGATCTAACCCAAAGTGTTGTACATGCTAGGCACATACTCATCTACTAAGCTCCATCCCCCAGCATGAATCTGGTTTTTAGATGCAGGTGTTAAATGTCTCAAATCCTTTGCTATATGATGGTAAAGGTTGACCATGGAGCTACATCCCCAGCCCAGTACTCTTTTATTTAAGCAGGTCCTAAACAACCATATTCCCCTGTTCATTTCCATAGCTTACAATGCATTCAGTTCTTCATAGAATGACAGGCTTTCAAGACTATTCCACAATGTTTACTTTTACTACATTCCACTTTGTGTATTTCTGTCATTGAAAGATTCAAGGGTGTATGTCAGTCTGTGTCTACCTGTGTGTGTGTGTGTGTGTGTGTGTGTGGTCATCCACCATCTCTGGTTCTTAGGTTCTTTCATCCTCTTTTGAAATGGTCCCTCCCACCCGCCCGATCTTTTTGAGAGAGGGTCTCCCTGTAGCCCCAGCTGGCCTAGAAGTTACAGAGATCTGCCTACCTCCTCCCCCCTACCCCCTAGGTCTGGGATTAAAGGCATGTACCACCACATCCAGCTTCAGGTTTGTATTTTATACTTGCATTCTTAATTCTCAGATGGTCTTCTCAGAATTGTCCCAACATCATTTTTTGAAAAGATCATCCCTACTTCATTGAATTGTTTTACATCTTTGTTAAAAATCAAATGGGTCTATTTGCGTGGGTCTGTTTCTGGACTCTGTTCTATTAACATATTTCTCTGTCTCTTAACTAATAAGACCAAGTTTTCATTGCTAAGGGTTTCTTTTTGTTACTATTATTTTAAAAGTGTGTTTCAGGGGGTACTTTTGCTCATGGAGGCCAAAGGTCAATGTCAGGCGTCTTCCTCTATTGATATCCACCAGAGTTTTTAGATAGGGTCTCCCACTGAACTTGGCACTTTTTCAGCTTGACTGGCTGGCCAACAAAGGCCTTGGATTTGCCTATCTCTGCTCTCCTAACATCTAGGATTACAAGCATGCACAACCATGCCAGCTTTTTATGGGGTGTTGGAGATCTGAACACAGGTCTTCATGCTTAAGCAGTAAGCAGTTTACCCACTGAGCCTACTAAGGGTTTTTTGAGTTTGACACACTATTCACAATTTTCTGTTGTAGAGAGTTATCATGCTTGTTTTAGCAGCCCATTAGATTTCCCCAGTTGCAACAACCAAAAAGTTTATATAGATAGTGCCAGATGCTTCCTAGAGTACAAAATCACCTCTGCTTGAAAATACTGTATTAGACATGTGTGGTGGCATATCTTTTTAATATCAGCACTTGGGAGGCAGAGGCAGGAGATTGAGCTCTGTGAGAATGAGGCCAGCCTGGTCTACATAGCAAGTTCCAGGCCAGCTAGGGCTGCAGGGATACCCTGTCTCAAAAAGACCAAAATAAAAGAAAAAAGAAAAAAAGTGCATTAAAGGTTTTAAAATATTAATGATGGTTCTTATAAGTTCTTAGTAAGTTAAAAAAAACTCTTGCTTTTGTGTCTTAAGCTTTCTCACCTTTTCATGTCTTGAAATTTGATGAAAACTAGACATCTTGTTTAAAACAGCAGTCCAGAGAAAGGGTTCAGCCATCCTCATAGATAAGAGTAGCTCCCTATGCCAAAACTGTGTAAACGCTCTTTTATGCTAAAACACCTGGGACTCTGAAATTGTGGCATGCCTATGTGAGCGCCCACCAATAAAAGCTCTAAGCAAAGATTGTCTAATGAACTTCCCTTGTTGGCAGTATTTCACAGGTGTTGCCACAAGTCATTGCTGGGAGGTATTGATGTATCTCAGCTTCTGGCTGAAAAGAATTGACCTCGCTGAGGCAGGTTTCTATGGCTTCCCAGGCAGTGGACTACATTTCCCAGGAGGCAACTCGCCCACTGCTCCTGCAGTCCAAAGATGGCGGTGGCATAGTGTGGCTAGAAAACAGGAAAAGCATCATGCAGGAGGTCATTTAAACGTGACCGGAAACACCTTGAAGGTCTCGTGCACAGATGTGGGCGTTGTGTGGGCGATTTTCTCTGCTGAGAGAAGATATGGCGGTTAAAGCCAGGGCCTGTCAGTTGACAGTTGGGCTCTGGCTTGTTAAAGGCGGTGCGGAATAGGACTACATTTCCCAGAGTGCCTTGCGCCCACGGTAACGTCCTAAAAACTCTTGGGTTTGTTCCGGTTCAAATTGGCATCTGGCCTGCCTTCCGGGATGTGAGGGGCGTTTGGGAGCCTCAACCTGGAGACTAGTCACCCCCGAGGTCTAGTACGGGGATGAGGGACATTCCACCCAGCGGAACACCGAGTTCTGAAGAGGCTGTGGAAGGTTGGTGCGCGTGCGCGGACGTGGGGTTGGTGTGGGAGCCGCAGGCACTGCGGTGCGGAGCTTGAGTTCTGTGGGCTGTTCTGTAAAGTCACGGTCACAGGAGCTGTGTGGACAAGTTCAATGTGGCTGTGAGCGCTTGACCAGTGTGTAGACTTGATAGCGCAGCAGCCTTGGCACCAAGAGAATGAGCGTTGTGTGTAGTCACAGTGAATTCTAAAAGTGACAGCGTGAAAAGGGCTGGAGAAGGCTGTACCTGCCTCACCGTGGGGACCTGCTGTCACGGCAGTTACCCGCCCACAATTAAAAATATATTTTCAAGTAAGATAAGGGCTTGAGAGAGAGAGAGAGAGAGAGAGAGAGCGAGAGAGAGAGCGCTCAGCGTCTAACAGCACTTCCTGCACTTGCAGAGGACCTGAGTTCAGTTCCCAGCACTCACAAACACCTGTAACTCCAGCCCCAGGGGATTTGTTGTGGCCTTCTTAGCTTCCAAAGGCGCTGGCACTCAATGTGCACAACCCCCGCCCAAGGTTCATATAAATTGTTTTGTTTTGAAACAGGGCCTCACTACATAGTCTTGACTGGCATGGAATTCGCTATGTAGACCAGGCTTGCTTCAAAATCCCAGAAATCTGTCTGCCTTTGCCTCCCCAGTGCTGGAATTTAAAATTCTGCCATGCCGGATTATAAATAGACAGGGTCTCCCTGTAGTCACAGCTGGCCTGGATTCACTATGTAGACCAAGGCTGGCCTGATCTCACAGAGATCCACCTGCCCCTGTCTCCTGAATACTGGGATTAAAAGGCGTGTGCCACCACACTGGGCTCATAAATAAATTTTTAAAAGTAAAACAAATCAGGGCTGGAGAGATGGCTCAGCGGTTAAGACCACTGACTGCTCTTGCAGAGGATTTGGGTTCGATTCCCAGCACCCGTATGGCGGCTACGAACTGTCCTTAACTCCTGTTACAGGGGAATCCAAATCCCTCTTTTGACCTCCAAGGCATTGCACAACACGGGTGCACGCACATACGTGCAGGCAATACACACACACATAAAATAAAAATAATAAATAAAATACCTTTAAAAAAAAGTAAAATCTTAAATCTTAAAAAAAAATGCAGCTAAGGTGTCATTTAAAAAAAAGTGGAGAAAGATTTATGAGGAAAGCATTGGGGTCATTCCAAAGCGGAGACCAACACAGCATGTTGGGAGTATTAGGCAAAGCACATGACCAATGTAACTTTACTGTATCATGTTTTGTTTTACCTTTGGCATTATAATGAGTTCTTTTCTTTGAAATCTAATACATGATCAGTCAGCAGTTACATGTTTTGGGCTGAGAGGTGTATTTAACTCCTCTTTGGCTAATATTTCTAGACCAAGCTGGCCCGGAACTCACAGAGATCCTCCCATCTCTGCCTGCCATGTGCTGGGATTAAAGGCGAGCGCCACTACGCCTGGCTTTTATTTTGTATTTTTATTTAGTTATTGTCAGTGCTGGGAATTAAGCTCAGGCCTTGCTCATGCTGGACAACTACTGTATTCCTTGCCTCATGTTGCAGGTATGTTAGTTGACATGTAGATATTCACAATTGCTATATGTCACTGCCTGTCAAGCTATAGTATTGATATGATCAAAATTATGCCTCTGTTTATTTTTCTTTGCCTTTTATATGTTCCTCCAAAGTTTTTAAAGTTTTCATCAATAGAAACATATCCATAATACAATGAAACAAAAACAATTAGAGCTGTATAGCTAAGTGAATTAGTACAAGGAGAACACCTATAGAAGTATCCATATTAAAAATAAATGGTTGTGTGTACCCTGTAAAATCAGTAGTTGCCCCTCAAAGAAACCAGTGTACATTGGTTTTGTCTATTTTTGGATTTATGTATAAGTGAGATGATGCACTGCGATGCTGGCCTCTTATTGTGTGTGTGCATGCATCTATGATACAGAGTGCCTGTGAGGGTCAGAGGACAACTTTTGGGGGTCAGTTCCTGTCCTCCCCTTGTTGAGGCAGTCTTTCTTGTTTCTGCCACGCTGGCTATTTCAGGCTAGCTAACTGGCCCTCCGCTTCTGGGCCAGCTTCCAGGCACTTCTCCCGGCTCCACCCCCCTGGCAGGGCACTGGCGGGCTGGGAGTTCAGATGCCACCACTGTATCAGCTTTTTATCATGTCTTTATGTAGGTTCTGGGGAGCGAATGGGTTATCAGGCATGCTCAGCAGTACCCTTACCCAGTGAGCCATCTCATTGACCTGATGACTTCTTTTGTTCTGTTGTGTCCAGTTGGCGAGACCCCAAAGACCATTAAGGAGCCGACCGATGTAAATACACAATGTTTTTTTTTATTGTTGCAGGCTTAAGCTTGGGTCCACTCTGTCACCGACTCAGCGGATCTCAGATGTGAGACCCCTTGCTTTGGGAGACAGAGTTTTTTATAGGTTTATTTCAGCAAGTTCAGCAAGTAGGGGAGTAGGGGGTCTCCAGCCTGGCAAGCATCTGATTGGTTGCAGCTCAGTGCCAAACCATAAACTGCTGGCTTCAGGAAATCTGAAAAGATATCTGGACTTTTAGTACTTTCCTGTCCCTGGTTAATTGACCGTTGGCGGGGGAGTTGTTCTCTATCTGTTCCAAGTAGTGTGGTTTTTCTTGGAACAGGGCCCAGGCCTGGGTTGGTCCTATGGAGGTTTTATACAAGGTGGAGTCACTCAGGTCTCAGTTCAAAATGATGTTTGTGAGAATCATCCATGTTTTTGCCTGTAGAAACCATCCATTTGTTCTCATTGCCAGATGGTAATCCAGTGCATGGAGATACTGATTGTTCATTTTCCAGTCAGTGAACATTTGGATTTTTCTCTAATTTTGAATTCTCATGAGCAGTGTTGTTGTGAACATTCTTGTATAAAAAATTTATTCATTTTTATTTGATATGTATTTTACCCACATGTATGTAAGTATACCACCATGTGCCCATGGAGGTCAGAAGAGAGTGATGGATCCCCTGGAACTGGAGTTACAGTTGTTAGCCTCCATGTGGGTGCTGGGAACCAAACTCAGGTCTTCTACAAGAGCAGCCAGTGCTCTTAACCACTGTGTCAAACCCTTGTCTTTTCATTTTTTAAAAAAATTTTCAAATATTTATTTATTTATATAAATAAATATAATATATAATA